GTGCAAGCGAGCTGCTTACTCTGTGCTAGTGACTGCGTGTCCAGGAGGACAGTTCCGGCTTGGACGGTCCCTGGGAATGGGCCAGCCGTCTCCGCGGGCTGCTGCGGCCGGTGCTTGCTCTCCGCCCAGACGGAGCCTGAGGCCCGCCCTGAGCCCGGAGCGGCGGGCCGCCCTAGGGGACAGCGGGCAGGCTGTCCTTGGCGCAAAGCATCACCATCGGCCCTGGGGACTCAGGGCAGCTGTCCTGGCGAGCTCAGCTCACCAGCCGCCCTCGGGGACGTCGAGGCAGCTGTCCTGGAGGCTCATGGTCACCAGCGGCCCTAGAACGGGACCGGGCAGCTGTCCTGGCGGCCTCAGCGTCACCAGGGGGCCCTTTGGGACGTCAGGGCAGCTGGTCCTGGGGGGGATTGCTCAGCGTCACCAGCGCCCTGGGGTGGCCGGCGCGTTGTGCCTGGCGGCTCAGCGTCACCAGGGCCCTAGGCAAACGGGCCCGGCAGCTGTTCCTGGCGCTCAGCATGCACCAGCCGCCTGGGGACGCCGAGGCAGTGTGCTCCTGGCAGCCTCAGGCGTCACCAGGGGGCCCATGAGGAACGGGCGGGCAGCTGTTCATGGCCGGCCACAGTGTCACCAGGGCCGTAGGGGACGGACGGCCAGCTGTCCTGGTGGCTCAGCGTCACTTTGGGCCCTAGCCAGCATCGACCAGCGCCACAGGGGACGGCCGGGACTGCTGGTGCCTGCGGCGGCTCAGCCCTCACCAGGCCCGGGGGATGTCAGGGCAGGCTGCCTGGCGGCTCAGCGTCACTTAGGGGGGCCCTAGGCACAGCGTCACCAGCCGCCCTGAGGGACGTCCAGGGCCAGCAGTCCTGGGGGGAGGCTCAGCGTTCACCAGGGCCCTTAGGGGACGGCCGGGCAGGGCTTTCCTGGCGGCTCAGTGTCACCAGGGCCTAGAGCATGGCCGGGCCAGCTGTCCTGGCCGGGCTCAGTCACCAGGGCCCTGGGGACGGCCGGGCCAGCTTCCTGGCCGGCTCAGGTCACTAGGGCCCTATGGCACAGCGTACACCAGCGCCCATAGGGGAACGTCAGGGGCAGCTGTCTGGAGGCTCAGCGTCACCCAGGGCCCTCAGGGCGTCAGGGCCAGCTGTCCTGGAGGCTCAGATCACCAGGCGCCCTTAGGACGACGGCGGGGCAGGCTGTGTCTTGGCGCGCAACAGTGTACCAGCGCCCGGGGACTGCCGGGGGCGTCCCGGCCGGCACAGCGTCACCAGGCCCCATGAGGGGATGGCGGCCAGCTGTATCCTGGGCGGGCTCAGTGTCACACAGGGCCATGAGGGAACGGCGGCGCAGCTTGTCCTGGCGGCTCAGTGCACCAGCGCCCCTGGGGACGGGCCGCGGCAGCTGTCCCTGGCGGCTCAGCGTCACAGGCGCCCTGGGGACGGGCCGGGCAGCCTTTCCCTGGTGGCTCAGCATCACCAGGGCCCTGGGGACTGAGCGCGGGCGGCTTTCCTGGTGGCTTAGCATCACCAGGCCCTGGAGGGCCGGGCAGCTGTCCTGGGGCTCAGCGTCACCAGCGGCCCTGGGGCCATGGCCGGGCAGCTGTCCTGGCGGCACAGCGTCACCAGCGCCGCGTGTCTGGGGTGGTCGCCAGTCGCGTTGACCGAGCTTGCTGTGGGGCGACTCTGGCGGCTCGGCTGCCCTTGTGGGACGACCTATACAGCCGCCTGTGGTGACAACGTGACAGGGGGGAGGGCCACTCTGCCTTGGTCTCCTCTGCGGCGGCCATGGGGCCGCGACCCACTCGGTCACCGGCCAGGCGCGCTGACCGGCCACACGGGCTCGCCAGCTGGCAGGTGCTGCGAGCTCGCCTGCGGGTGCTCTGCTGACACGCGTGCTCAGCCTCCACGCCCCGCGGGCGGCGTGACCGCCGACGGTGGACGGCCACTCTCCCAAACTCTTGGCTCTGGCTCAGTTTCCCCGGCGTGCTTGGTGCTGTCTGCAGATAACTTCAAGGGCACAGGGTGGCACCAACTGGACCCAGCGACCCAACAGACCCGAGACCTCCTTCCTCCTGTCCCTAAGGCCACCATTGGTCACAAGCCAGGCTTGGCAGGCACTGGCCCGTCCACCATGTCTGCGATTGGCGAGGCCGAAGGTCATGTGGCTCTGTCGACTCGGGAACTCCGGAGCTGCCTCTCTTGTCCTCAGTGGAAGGTGGGGGTGACACCCAGAGAGCAGGGTCAGGTGGAGATCTCCGGGCCTTCTGTTCTCCGTTCCTTCCCTCCCCTCCCCTCCCTCCCCTCCTCCTCCCTCCCCTTCCTCCCTTCCTCCCTCCCCTCCCTTCCCTCCTCCTCCCTTCCCCCTCCCCTCCTTCCCCTCCCCTCTTCTCTCCTTTTCTTTCTTTTCTTTTCCTTTTTCTTTGACACAGTCTCACTCCCTTGCCCGGGCTGGAGTGCCGTGACGTCAGCCCAGCTCACAGCAACCTCAGACTCCTGGGCTCAAGTGATCCTCCTGCCTCAGCCTCCGGAGTAGCTGGGACTTGGCATGCGGCCCAACATGCCTGCGCTAATTTTTTATATATATACTTGTCCAATTAATTTTTTCTATTTTTAGTAGAGACAGGATCTCACTCTTGCTCAGGCTGGTCTCCAACTCCTGACCTTGAGCAATCCTCTTGCCTCGGCCTCCCAGAGTGCCAGGATGACAGGCGTGAGCGCGCCCGGCGTCTCCGCTCCTTGGCCGCGCCCGGGCCTCCCTGTCCCCGTGGGCGAGGGCGGGCACTCGCTCCCCAGCCTGGCTCACCCGCTCCAAAGAGGAGCAGGGCTTCCCGTCTGAAGGAGGGTTTGGGATTCAGTCCCAGCTTCAAGGCCCGCCCTGGCGTCCTGTTGCCATCAGTCAGTCTGCAGACACCGCGGAGCACCTGCCGCGTGCCAGGGCTCGCTAGGCCGGCGGGTCCAGACCGATGACTGAGGACATGCCTGTTCCTAGGAGCTGGTGCTGTAGCAGAGTGGACAGACAGCGCAGGAAGACAAATTCCAGCTGGCATTCACTCACCGGGTGACACTCACCGAGGCCTGGCTGCACGCTGGCCTGTTCCAGGCACAGAACGCAGCTGGCGGGAGCCTCCATTCTCTCGGGACCTCAGCCTAGCAGGGGAGGCCGGAGACACAGGGGTAAAACACGCTCAAAGCTAATCAACTTGAGCCCGGGTCACTCAGGTGTTGAATTCAGTAAGTCCTATTCCAGCGATCCAATGTGGAAACAGAGGTCCTGGCTAAGTGACAACTTGTCCCTGGAGACCTAGGTCAGACGTCACCTCCTCCCTGAGACCCTGCCCCATCCTCACCTCCCCCCAAGGCCCTCTGGCCTCACCTGGGACCCCTCAGCGCTGTGGTCGCCTTTGCTGGTCTCTCCAGCTGTGGAGCCGCGTGACCATGCTGCACCACACACAGAACGGTGCTCAGAAGGTGACAATGGGCCAAGTCTGAATAAATGAAATTATCAAACCCTGAAAAAAAAAAGTAAAGTAGAAAAGAGGAGTCAACCTGGTAGCTAGGGATGAAGAAGTACTATTTTCACATCATGAAGGAGAAATAGTTCTATGGGTGAATAATTTTTAAGCCAGGCTGGGCGCGGTGGCTCACACCTGTAATCCTAGCACTCTGGGAGGCCGAGGCGAGAGGATCCCTCAAGGTCAGGAGTTTGAAACCAGCCTGAACAGGAGTAAAACTCCCGTCTCTACTGAAAATAGAAAGAAATTAATTGACCAACTAAAAATATATAGAAAAAAATTAGCCAGGCATGGTGGCACATGCCTGTAGTCCCAGCTCCTCGGGAGGCTGAGGCAGGAGGATGGCTTGAGCCCAGGAGTTTGAGGTTGCTGTGAGCTAGGCTGACGCCACGGCACTGTAGCCTGGGCAACAGAGTGAGACTCTGTCTCAAAACAAATAAATAAATAAATAAAATCAAAAAATGAAAAAAGAAGGTGATAATGGACCAAGTCTGAATAAATGAAATGATCAAACCCTAAAAAAATAAAATAGGCCAGGCGCGGTGGCTCACGCCTGTAATCCCAGCATGCTGGGAGGCCGAGGTGGGCGGATTGCTCGAGGTCAGGAGTTTGAAACCAGCCTGAGCAAGAGCGAGACCCCATCTCTACTAAAATAGAAAGAAATTAATTGGCCAACTAATATATATAGAAAAAATTAGCCGGGCATGGTGGCACATGTCTGTAGTCCCAGCTACTCGGGAGGCTGAGGCAGGAGGATCGCTTGAGTCCAGGAGTTTAAGGTTGCTGTGAGCGAGGCTGACGCCACGGCACTCACTCTAGCCTGGGCAACAAAGCGAGACTCTGAATCAAAAATAAAATAAAATAAAGAAAAAAATAAAGTAGAAAAGAGGAGTCAACCTGGTAGCTAAGGATGAAGAAGTACTATTTTCACATCATGAAGAGGGAATAGTTCCACAGGTCAATAATTTTTAATCCAGTTCAGTAAGACTTCATCTTGACCAAATTAGTGGAACTTTTACTACATGGTCGAATTTAGATTTTTCAGATTTCTTGAGTGGTAGTGGCTTTACACACAAACACACATACACATGCATACACACGCACACACACGCACGCACACATGCACACATATGCACATGCACACATATGCACATGCACACATATGCACATGCACAAATGCACACACACACGCGCACAAATGCACACACACACGCACACATGCACATGCACCCACGCATGCACACATGCAAGCACACACACGCACACACATGCACACATGCAAGCACACACACGTGCACACACACATCTCCCCATAAGCCTCACTGCTGGAGAGCTCTGCCCAGCTTCGGTTCCAGGCGGCAGCAGAGCTGCTAATTGGAACGGTGGCAGCTTACGTGACTTCAATCAGACGTGATTCTGTGTAACGGTATATTGTAATAGCTCATGACAGTAACACACATGAGATAGTTGAATAGTCTTTCTCATTTGAAAGAGAAACACAAGCATCTTTTTAATACAGAGGCATAAGGAAGTGTTTGTTTTTATCAAAAAATTGTGGGCTTTATTTAGCACCTTTTTAATCAACTAGTGGATTTCTTTACTTTCTGCATAGATGGAAATTTAAGTGAACTATATATTTTGAATTGTGTTAAAATAATAATAGCAAACATATACTGAAGTTTATTATGTGCCAGGCATTTTGTAAGGACTTTGTGCAAGTTTTAAGTTGTCCTCTCAAAAAACCCACTTTCTATTGCTATGAATATTATTTCCATCTTATAAATGAGAAAACAGAGAATTTGAAGGTCTTTTCCAAATCAGGACAGAACCCAGGCAGCTTCATTGCCATGAGCTTAAGCACTTAACACTGTTGTACCTTTCATGAAACATTTCAAATTTGCTTTGATATCAGCAAACCCAAGGACACACAGCAGCTCTGCTATGCTAAACAGCCTGTGCAGAGATTGAATTTATACTCTTAGATTCAGTTCCACCACGAGTCTAGATAGTCATCACAGTTAATAATGAAAGCAGGGTATTTTGGAGGTGAGAGGAAATGCAGACTCTTTTTGATCTTACCTTATTCTTCCTAATTCTTGCCAACTAAATCGGAACCTCCAAACTAAATTTTCTTTCCTCATTGGAGACATCCGACCTTACCACCTTATATAGCTTATTGAGTTAACATTCCTAATATTTCCAATATGAAACTAACGTATTACAATAATCTATCTGATCTCTGCTTCTAGTTTATCTCCCTTTCTGCAGCAAAAGGAATCTTTGTTTCATTCCAGCCTATCTGTCCCTCCCCCTGCATAAAACTGTCAATGGCTCCCCATTGCCTGGGTCAGTGGTTCTCAAATTTATATAGGCATTTACTGTGGTGGTGGTTGCATAACTCTGTGATTATACTAAAACCCATTGAACTTTACATTTTAAATAGGTGAATTGTATGCTATGTGAATTATATCTCAAAAAAGATTTGGGATTTTTTGTTTGTTTTTTGAGACAGAGTCTCACTCTGTTGCCCAAGCTAGAGTGCTGCGGTGTCAGCCTAGCTCACAGCAACCTCAAACTCTTTTTTAATTAATTTTTTAATTAAAAAAATTTTTTAATTTTTAATTAAATTAATTAATTAAATTAATATTATGGGGGTACAAATGTTAAGGTTACGTATATTGCCCATGTCCCCCTTCTCCCTCAAACTCCTGGGCTCAAGCAATCCTCCTGCCTCAGCCTCCCGAAGAGCTGGGACAGCAGGTGTATTCCCCCACACCCAGCTAATGTTTTTTTTCTATTTTTAGTTCCCCAGCTAATATTTTTCTATTTTTAGTAGAGACGGGTCTTGCTCTTGCTCAGGCTGGTCTCTGGAGCTCAAGCAATCCTTCCACCTTGCCCTCCCAGAGTGCTAGAATTACAGGCGTGAGCCACCAGGACTGGCCTCAGAAAAGGTATTTTTTTTTTAAGTATAATCTCCATTTTATTTTTTTCCAACGGCTAGTTTTTCTTCAGTCCTCAAGGACTCAACTCCTTACATAGGCTCTGGTGGAGGTCTTGGGCAGCACCCGCAGGTCTAAATCTGGGTGGGGGTGTTCGGTCCTCGCGGGCTTCCCGAGCACGATTCCTGACTCCCTTGCCGTGAGTGGCCCAACTCACACAGCAGTGCAGCTTCCCACAGCTCGGGGAGCACAGGGCGCCGGAGACCCTCGCTTCGGGTGTGTCCCTGCCAGCTGCGGCCCCCGCTGTGTTCCGAACGCAGACTCCTTCACGGCCTTGTCTTGGGCACGCATCGGCGCAGTTCGTGCAGCGATATGCACATGGCCACGGCCCTGTTTGGCACGACCGTTGTTCCTTCTTTTCTTTGTCATCTTGGAAACGAGGACACGAAAAAGAGAAAAGGTATTTTTAAGAGGAGGAATCAAAGCACCTGGAAGTGATGGCATGCTATGTGCGACACGAATGTTGAACCAGGAGCAATTTCACTAGCAGAACATAAGACTCCAGTATATTCAATATTTATAGTATATATGACATTTAAAATTCATAACAATGGCATCTGTGAAGAAAGCATTGAGCTAAGCTTATCAACACTTTTTAATATTTGTCTTTAATATGAAATTGCTATTTTTAAAAGTACTTCGTTGCCTACCACTATTTGCTAGCCAACAAGCATTAACAAAACCTGACACTTAAGAAAAATTTGAAAGGGAAACTTTAAAATTGAGCACATTCTATCTAATACCTTGATATACCTTCTGTCTTCAAGTTAAGACTTTAGAAAAACATCTCCATTTGGAATAACGCTAAGGTTTTCTGGGAGGACCTTTGACAATCCCTGGCTTCTTAGAAAAGGCCTGTGTTTCTTTCTTTCTTTTTCTTTTTCTTTTTTTTTGAGACAGAGTCTTGCTTTGTTGCCCAGGCTAGAGTGAGTGCCGTGGCGTCAGCCTAGCTCACAGCAACCTCAGACTCCTGGGCTCAAGCCATCCTCCTGCCACAGCCTCCCAAGTAGCTGGGACTACAGGCATGTGCCACCAAGCCCGGCTAATTTTTTCTATATATATTAGTTGGCCAATTAATTTCTTTCTATATTTTTATAGTAGAGCCGGGGTCTCGCTCTTGCTCAGGCTGGTTTCAAACTCCTGACCTCAAGCAATCCGCCGGCCTCGGCCTCCCAGGGTGCTAGGATTGCAGGCGTGAGCCACCGCGCCCGGCCAAGGCCTGTGTTTCTTAACTCATCATAAAAGACTCTTCTTTCAACCTGGCCTTAAATGACTTTCCATCTTCATCCCTTTCCACACTGCCTCAGTGCTGCCTCGCCAAGTGGCTAAGTGTCCCCCGGACACAGCGGGGCTTTGCTCATGGCCTCCCTCCCCTGGGATACTCTTCCAGAACTTCTTCACTCAGCCCTTCAAACCTTTCGAAACCCTTTTTCACCTCCTGATTTCCACAACCCATGAAGGACCCTCGGCGTAGGAACAGGTGCATGTCACTAAAGGGTGCGCTTCCAGTCGCGGCCCGCCCGCCCGTGCGCCCGCCCGCCGGCCCTCGGCTCTCCCGGGCAGGAACTGGCCTTTCTCGCATGGGAAGTTCCACAAATATCTGGTAGATTTAGATGAATTGAAAATATATTCTCTACTCTCAACACGTCCGAAGTCTTAAGGAAAAGGGAAACGCGATCTATTAAAAAGCACCAGGCGGAGACCCGCTCTGGCTCTGCATGTCTGTCCTGGCCCTCACAGCGGCCCAGACACTGCGAGCTCGCCCAGAGGAGTAAGAGCCACTAGGCTAGGCACACAGAAGAAAGCTTGCCCAGCCGTCCCGGGAGGGAGGTCGCAGGGACCGCGCCTGAGTGCCCGTGAGGCCGCTCCACCCAGACATGGGCACGGAGCGCCAGGACGGCAGGACGGCGGGCTGGCCTCCTCCCTCCGCCCGGACGTGGGCACGGAGCGCCAGGACGGCAGGACGGCAGGACGCGAGCGGGCTGGCTCTCACGCTCGCCCGGACGTGGGGCACGGGAGCCCAGGTCGCAGGACGGCGGGCTTGGCCTCCACGCTTCGCCCGGACGTTGGGCACGGAGCGCCAGGACGCAGGACGAGCGGGCTGGGCCCCACGCTCGCGCCGGACTGTGGGCACGGAGCGCTGCAGGACGGCAGGGAGCGGCGGGCTGCCTCCCCTCCGCCCGGACCGTGGCGCACGGAGCGCCCAGGACGGGCAGACAGCGGGCTGGACTCCACGCTCCGCCGCGGACTGTTGGGCAACGGTAGCGCCAGGACGGAGATGACGCGGGCTGGCCTCCCTCCGCCCGGACGTGGGCACGGAGCGCCAGGACGGCAGGGACGGCGGCGTGGCCTCCTCCCCCCGCCCGGGACGTGGCACGGAGCGCCAGGACGGCAGACGGCGCGGCTGGCCTCCACGCTCCGCCCGGACGTGGGCACGGAGCGCCAGGACGGCAGGACAGCGGGGCTGCCTCCCCTCCGCCCGACGTGGGCACGGGAGCGCCAGGACGGCAGGACAGCGGGCTGGCCTCCTCCCTCCGCCGGACGTGGGCACGGAGCGCCAGGAGGCGGGCAGACGCGGCTGGCCTCCTCCGCTCCGCCCGACGTGGGACGGAGCGCCAGACGGCAGGACGCGGCTGCTCTGCAGGTGCCGCGCGGCCTCGGGCAGCGCAGCGGCCGGCGGGTGCGGGGCAGGAAGCCCAGCCTCGCAGCCCGCCTCCGGAGAGCCAGCGGCAGCCCAGGACGGTCTTTAACGCCGGCAAGTGTCAGCCAGACCAGCGCCGCGCAGATCGCCACGCGCACGCAGAAGTCGAGAATGGCAGAGCTGACACGGCTGGTCTCTGGGGAAAGCCATGTCACTCGGGGAAGATTCCTGGCCGCCATGAAGCCCTCCCTGATTTTCTCAGCTGAAAGGGATCTCTCTCTCTCTTCTCTCTCTCCTGAAATCCTCCAGAGTACTTAATTTTGTACTTAGGACACTTTGAAAATTTGTTCTTGCTTTGCAGTTGACTGTGCTCATTCCTGGTGCACCCTTTTTTCATCTTTGCCTCATTTTACAAGCTTAATATTTAATATAACACACCTTTAAAAGACACCTTGGGCCCAGGCGAGGTGGCTCACGCCTGTAATTCCAGCACTCTGGGAGGCCAACTGGGAGGAGCCCTCAAGGTCAGGAGTTCAAAACCAGCCTCAGCAAGAGCGAGACCCCGTTTCTACTAAAATAGAAAGAAATTAATCGGAAAACTAAAAATATATAGAAAAAAAATTCCGGGCATGGTGGCGCGTGCCTGTAGTCCCAGCTACTCGGGAGGCTGAGGCAGGAGGATCGCTTGAGCCCAGGAGTTTGAGGTTGCTGTAAGCTAGGCTGGCACTCACTCTAGGCCTGGGCGACAAAAGCGAATCTGTGCTCGCAAAAAAAAAAAAAAAAAGCAATGAAGAATAAATATTGTTAGATGTTAAGTTTCAAGAGGGGAAAGTCGTGTCCACTCACCTTACCAAATCACACAGCCCCACACAAAACATAGTTGATGGATAAACTGATGTAATGATAACAATATGGTAAAGCAAAAACATTCCTTGGCTTTTATTTATTTTTTATTTTTTGAGACAGAGTCTCACTCTGTTGCCCAGGCTGGAGTGAGTGCCAGGGCATCAGCCTCACTCACAGCAACCTCAGACTCCTGGGCTCAAGTGATCCTCCGGCCTCAGCCTCCCCAGTAGCTGGGACTACAGGCATGGGCCACCATGCACGGCTAATTTTTTCTGTATATTTTTAGTTGGCCAATTAATTTCTTTCTATTCTTAGTAGAGATGGGGTCTTGCTCTTGCTCAGACTGGTCTTGAACTCCTGACCTTGAGTAATCCTCCAGCCTTGGCCTCCCAAAGTGCTATGATTACAGGTATGAGCCACAACGTCCAGCCAATTGGCTTTTAAAGTTGATATTTTTCTAATTTTCACCTTGAAAAAAAAAATCACTAGTTTCCTACTGTTTTACCAGTTTACTAGAGTATTCACAAAGATGTTTATCATGTATTCTTTTAAATTTTCAAACTATGCTCCCAGCATCTGTGGCTGTCTTTTTTCTTGATCTGATTTCCAAAGTTTCATCTCTTGTATAGGTCTTTTTTTGGGGAAAAAACCTCTTATATTTATTTACTACATTTTTTCCTAGTAGAACAGAGATATATTTATTTCAGCAAAATTATAAAGTAAAAATAAAAAAAAATATTTGAGACTCATTGAGACACAATTTTGTAAGGAAGAATATTAACAGTTATCAGCATAAGTACAACAAATCATAAAGACCTGTGGGTCTTTTAATGGGAGAAAAGAACCAGAAGAAACACAAAAGTACTTTTAAAACACAGCGTCATTGCCACAACACATGAAAACATTCCCACAAAAATTAATAGTCTCCACTTGAACATTTCATTTTTCAGCCCTCTTTGAACTTGCATTCTGAAATCTTGATGTTCTACTGCAGCGGGAAGACCAGTCTCTATTCCGTGCACTGCAGCCAGGAATCAGCCCCTCACAGGCAATTAAAAGAAACACTTCCTGTTACATATACAGTACTTTAAGGCTAATATTTAATCTTAATTGGCAACAAGGTTAGTGCAAATAAACTTATATCTAGCAGCTTAGAAAAGTCCAGGTGGGAAGGCAGGCTGCTCTTAACCTTCTCCGCTTCCCCAGAGTGAAATCATTTTTCTCTTTTCATGAGTGCAAACATTGGCCATTCAATCTACTGAAAACTACTAGTGACAGCTCTGTTTGTCACACAGGGAGTCCCCGGAAAAATGGTTTCAGCCACTATGCAAAGGAGCCGCACAGTCTTACATTGGGAAAGTTCCCTTTAGGCTGACACAGAGCAGCAGGGCCGGAGTGCCAGTCACCTCTCCCCGGAGTGCAGTCAAGGTCACGACTGGACCTTGCCCAGCTGCCTCTCTGGTCAGCAAAAAGAACCAAGGGGCACTAGTCATGTCACCCATGAGCCACTAGAGGTGGAATGGAAAAAGAGAGACAGGGGACAGGGCTGAGGAATTGCTTAAATCAAATCCTACTCTCCAGTAATAATTGTATTTCAGTGATTTGAATGCCAAAAATAAAATAAAATAAAGCTATCTGGTTTCAAACCTGGTGCTTCCCACTCTTCTCAGCCAAGAGTCATTCTCCAACTGAACAGAAGCCAGAGAGCTACGAGCCATAGAAGATTTTTGTCTGTGCTTCATCAATTCCTCAAACTGCCTCTTTTTTTTGTTGGACACCCCTCCCCTCTCTGGCCCGGGGTTCTGTGCCAGAGCTGCGGCACCCAGGGAAGAGGAAGAATAGAAGAGCTCCTGGGTTCGGAGCACCTGGCCCTGCCACCAGCTCAAAGACTTGAGGTTTCAAAAAGCTTGGATGGGGCCAGGCATGGTGGGTCATGCCTGTCATCCTAGCTCTCTGGGAGGCCAAGGCTGGAGGATTGCTCAAGGTCAGGAGTTTGAGACCAACCTGAGCAAGAGGGAGACCCTGTCTCTACTAAAAATAGAAGCAAATTAGCTGGACAACTAAAAGTATGTATATTTAGAAAAAATTAGCCGGGCATGGTGGCGCATGCCTGTAGTCCCAGCTACTCGGGAGGCTGAGGCAGGAGGATCGCCTGAGCCCAGGAGTCTGAGGTTGCTGTGAGCTAGGCTGATGCCATGGCACTCACTCTAGCCTGGACAACAGAGTGAGACCCTGTCTCAAAAAAAAAAAAGCTTGAATGAGCCCCAAGGCGCACGATGTGCTGGCCTCAATCCAGGGGCAGACTCTAGGGAGGCCTTGCGCCTGCTCTGTACCAACCCCCAGCAGCGCGTCTACGCGCGACTGCTCGCGCTAGCCCGCGGCTGCGCTGGCTCCGCGGACAGAGGCCCCACCTCAGTCACTGTATTCTTCTCTCTCCCGCGCACTGGGGAACTTCTCATACTGGCCGGCCAATTTCCACCTGTCGTGCTGACTTTTGAGAAGTGCAGCAAAGGAAGTCTTCCGGGTGACATTTCTAGATACTTCCCGGCGCTCGGCCTTCCTGGTGGGGGGAGAGCTTTGCACTAAGGGGCGGACGGGGAACATGGGCTTGCCTCGGGGGGCTCCCAGGAGCTGCCATATCTCGGCGGAGGTGTCCCTGGTCAGATACTGCCATGGCCTTTTGCCACTGCCGTCCCGGACACTCACCCGAGAAGCCAGCCTTTGCACGAGCAATTTGATGACCGCCTGGTGGCCATGGATGGCTGCAAGGTGCAGTGGGGTGTACCCACAGCCGGACCTCGCGTTCACATCCAGAGCCACACCCGCCTTCCGGGCGCCCGAGACCAGGTCCTGAAGCGCCCGGACGTCGCCGTGTTTGGCGACCCAGTGCAAGGCAGTGTACCCCGTCAAGAAGTCTTTGTGCAAAACCAGCTGGGGGTCCTCCCAGAACAAAGTCAGCGCCTGGACCCAGGAGCCACTGGCAAGCTTCACAATCCACTGGTGCTCCCTGGCGTCCAGGGGGACCAGGGACGGCTTGTGCGCAGGCGGTCTGTGGGCGACCGAGGCCGCAGGCCCCTGCCCACCGGGGGCCCCAACGGCCTTAAGCGCTGCAGGCTTTGGTGTCAAAGCTGCATCCAACCTCGGACTGGGCCTCGTCCCTGCCTTGGAGGGTTTCCTGGATCGAGGCGGTCCCCGGCCCCTTTGCAGCAAGCCTTCATCAAGGCGCTCCTCGTCAGAGGAGGGCGCGTCGCCTCTCCCCGCCGGGGGGCTCCTCCGGAGGGTTCTCCTCCGCCTCGGGGCCGCCCGCGGCAGAGGCTCCGGGGCGCGGCTGGCGCAGCCACTCGCTTCTGGGGGGACCTGCCGGCAGGCGCGGCCACCCCCTCTGCTCCTGGGGCTCGGACAGGTCCAGCTGGGGCTCCGTTCCGCCAGGGGCGCAGCAAGGCCCCACGTGGGGTGCCCGAGCTTCCCGCCGCCTGCGGTTCCCAGGGCAGCCCGCGGCTCGTCAGGGCCCCCAGGCGACTCCTCGGGCCTGCGGCCGCCGCTCTCCTGGCCCACCAGGTCCTCCAGGTCTTGGAGGGACAGCTGGCAGCGAATGCTGCGGAAGACGGTCGGCGGAGCGCAGCCCGGCCGGGGCTCGGAGGGCTCCGCCGCAACGGGGAAGAGAGGATGGGAGGAAGGAGGCGGCGCTGGCGGCTCTGAACGTGGCCCCGTGGGCCGCTGGAGGAAGTTGTCCGGCAGCACAGTCCAGGCCCGGGTGAGGCACGGGTCTTGGGCCTCGGGCGTCTGCAGGTGCCTGGCCACCCACTCTCGCGTGCGCTGCTGCTGCTGCTGCTGCAGGGTGGGACAGTGTAGGGGTCCCGGGGGAGTCCTCATCTCCGGCCGGGGTCCAGGGGGTGCAGGGCGAGGCAGCGGAGCAGGCGGCGAAGGCCGGCTCCCGGCAGCCTCGATGGCGGCGGGAGGCGAGCGGGCTGAGTCTTCCCACCGCTGCCGGGTGGCCCCACTGTCCTTCTGGGCAGGCAGAGCCCGCGCCGGCTTCTCTCCGGCAGCGGCGGGGTCCGGGGGTGCGCCGAGAGCGCCCGGGAGCCCCTCCAAGCTGTTCTGCAGACACTCCCAGCAACAGCGGCCCTGCGTCTCCGCCGCCGCGCACTTGGCTCCGGCCTGGGCAGCTGCGGACACGAGCGCCCTCCGGCCGGGGCTGCCCCGCGGCCCGCCGCCCTCCCCGCTCGCCTCCCGGGTGCCGCCGGCCGGGAGTGCATTGCGAGCCGCGCCCGCCGCTCGGCCCGCCGCACCTGCCGGCGCCTCCTCCTGCCACGCCCGGCGCGCGCCTCGCGGGGGCCCGTCCGCCGCCAGAAGGTCCCTGTACCTGCGCCTGAGCACCACGCACTTGGTGCCGTCGGGGTCCTGGCGCACCGCGGCCACCGCGTTCACCAAGCCCTTGAAGAGCTCGCGGCGGCGCAGGCGCAGGCCGGGGGGCGCGTCCGGGTCGCGGAGGAAGCTCCCGAAGTGGCTCAGCAGGGCGGCGTTGGTTGCCCGGCCGCCTGCCTGGAGCAGGAAGTCCAGCAGCGCCTCCTGGCTCAGCTCTCGGGCCATCGCGGGCGCCGCCTGCGCCCGCCGGCCAGCGCCCACCTGCGCCCACCTGCGCCCGCCGCCCTCGCCGCGGGCCGAGACCCAGCCTGGCGGAACGGCGGCCCCAGCCCGCGCGGCGCGCCCGGAGCGCGAGTTGCCGGCAGGTCGGATTCCGTGTCACCTGCGCCGGACGACGCCGCCTGCCCGTGTCCCTCCGCCCTCCGAGTCGCCCCGCCCACCAGCCCAGGCGGGCCGGGCGCCAGAGCCGCTCTGCCTCGCGCGGCCGCCCTGCCCGGAGCCGCAAGGTGGGCGGGTGACCTCAGGGCGGGCGGGCAGGCAGGGGGTCCGCGGGCCGGGCGGGGGTCCGCGGGGCGGGCCAGGTGGGCGGGCGGGGGTCCGCGGGGCGGGTGGGCGAGCGGGGGTCCGCGGGGCGGGGGTCCGCGGGCCGGGCACCGCGGCTGCAGTGGACGGGGCGGGGTGCGGGTGAGCTCCGGGCCGCGCCGGAAGGGGCCCTTCTTTGCTCTCGCTGTGGGGCAGGGATTTCAGGTTCCGCAGGTAGTGTAGACTTTGCCTCCAAACCGGATCTTTCCTGATACGGAGCCTCCGGCAGGGCGGCTCCTGCAGAGCCAGCTCGGAGCGCCCAGTGCGGGCGAGACTGCGAGCCGCCGCGCGGCGCCCTCCAGTGCCGCCTCTCCTGGGGTGCTGGGCCGCCACTGCGGACCGGCGCGCCGCGGCTGGAGGACGAGGTTGTCTCCCAGGTAGGTGCCGGGTGCCTGGAGCTGCTTTGGTTTTGTTGACTCTGCAATCTGTGGGCCGCAGAGTGCGCGGCGCGCTCCGTGCTGGCGAGCCCTGCAGAGCGCCAGGTCTCCCGCGGTTCAGAGCCCAGCGTGCTGCGGGGCCTGGTTTGACCCTATGCTCTCCGTGCGGCTGCCTCAGTCCCTCCAGTCTGGTGACCATTTGTAGACTGGAGCTGTCCTTTTATTTTTTGAGACAGAGTCTCCCTCTGTTGCCCGGGCTAGAGTGCCATGGCGTCAGCCTTGCTCACAGCAACCTCAGACTCCTGGGCTCAAGCGATCCTCCTGCCTCAGCCTCCCAAGTGGCTGCGACTACAGGCATGCGCCACCATGCCCGGCTAATTTTTTCTATATATATCAGTTGGCTAATTAAGTTCTTTCTAACTTTTGTAGCGACGGGGTCTCGCTCTTGCTCAGGCTGGTTTCCGAACTCCTGACCTTGAGCGATCCTCCCGCCTCAGCCTCCCAGAGTGCTAGGGCCCTACAATTGTTAACATGTTTTAGCATGGACCAATCTTAGCGACTGTGCTACAGGACACATTAGCTGATCTTTATTTTAAGTCCCCAAGAGTACCCTGGTAGTTTTCAACGAATGCATTGGAATCCTTGGCTTTAAATTATCTAGGTCAGAAAAAAGAACTGGACAAATTTTTGTCTAGTTTTGGCATTTTCTAGAATCCAAACCCAATACTGTGTTGAGAGGGGGATGACTGTTTCCACTGATGTCTTTACACAACACCAAGCCTTTAAGGTAGTTAATAAAGGTTTGTATTGAACTCCGACTTTCTTTTGCATCTATTTCCTGGTGTGGAGTCTTGGTGAGATTGAGTGAGGTATGTCTACACCAGGCGTCCTCAAACTGGGCCCGCGGGCCACACGCGGGCGCCCGGCACGTTTATCCGGCCGCTGCCTGTCCTGCTCCGCAGCCGCGGGTCCGGCCCGCAGTGCGCATGCGTGGAGCGCGCTCGCGCGGTTGAGGGACGGTGGCCGGCCCCTGCTTACAAGGTTTGAGGACCCCGGTCCGCACGGAAGGCAGGAGGGAGTGCAGGTGTATAACTCAGGTGGGCATTTTAGAGTGGCAAGTGCAAAGAATCTTTCTCTGGTAACTTTTGAAATATTTGGTTACAAAACAAGGGACATTTTGTAAAAGGGGACCATGATGTAGACTGAGGTTTGGATTTAAAGGACTTAAAAGGGCCAGAGAGAAAGGAAGGTGGGGGCGGGGATGGCGCAGGTGTGGCTGTTGAGACTGGTCTACTTTTACTTGAAGGTGGAAGCCAGTGGGTCTGGAGGGAACGAGGACGGTCGGATTGCTGTCAGTTTCCGGGTGCTCGGGCGCTTCGCCAGCCAGAGCCTGTTCTCCTGGGTGTTCCCCGCGTCCCGGCGCGGACGTCACTGGGCGTCCTCGCCTTGTCTCCGCGTGCAGCCCGCCCTTCCGAGACGCTGCGCGCCCGGCGCGGGGCTGGAGGCGCGGGGCTGGAGGCGCGGGGCTGGAGGCGCGGGGCTGGAGGCGCGGGGCTGGAGGCGCGGGGCTGGAGGCGCGGGCACCCGCTTACTGGGCACAGGAGGACGGCACCGACCGCGTGGCAAGTGACTTACCGGGCACGCACCCAGACCGCGGAAGTCAGATGCGCACGGAGGAGCCCGGGCTCTGCTGGGGGATCAGGACAGCTTTTCAGGAAGCGGCAACTTTGAGAGAAAGGGAGAGAAAGCCTTGAGGGCGGCAGGGCCAGTGCCGGGCAGCGGGGGCGGGCTGGCCGGCCGCTGGGGTCGCGCGGCAAGCAGACCTGCTTGTCCCGCTTGGCTTTAAGAAAGACAGTGTGGCTGTGCTGGCCCCGAGGAGGCGACAGGCGGAACAGCAGGGCCCTGGGGCAGGGAGGCCCGGAAGAACCTTCCCAAGGTAGCCGCCTGGCCGGTCTGTGCTCTCGAAACGTCGCCTGGCGCTCAGTGCTGGCTTGGAATCACGACCAGCAGGAACAGGTGGAAAGAGCACATTGCAGACAATATTGAATTGCACTGAACCCGAGACACCGTTGATTGTGTGACACATTTTGATTTCAGAGATGTTAAAATGTGAAAAAGAATGCCTTTTATAATTAGCAGAAATGCAGCATGTTTAATAAGAACCTATTTTTAGAAAAAAATGTATATATATTTGGGGGTAAGGTTTAATGACTAGATAAGGGATGACTTTACCTTTTTTTAATAGCCTATTTGACTATTTTGCAATGAGAATATATTGATTTTTAGCTTGAAAAAGACACAAAAGAAAAAAATCACATAAATGAAAACAACAAAGAAGGAAACAACATTAAATCATTAGGCTGGAGGAGGGAGGTGAGGCTGCCCACAGAAAGAACAATCCAGAAGTTACCGAGATGATCAGGAAAGGGACGAGAAAGGTCTGAGTCCAGCAGCGGCAGAGAAAAAGGAGACAAACGGGGTTGAGAGGTGTCAAGTAGGAGGATGAAATAGGGCTGGGGGCCAGCGAGGCGGGGAGGAACCAGCGGGCCTGCCCACGCACACCTGCCCAGCGGCTGCCGCCCTCAAGCCGGGCAGAAGACAGAAGGAGCTTCTGGAAATGGAAAATGATCAATTCAATTTTGGCCGTATTAGGTTTGAGGTGCCTGTGGGCCATAAAACTAGAACTTTTTATTTATTTTTTGAGACAGAGTCTCACTCTGTTGCCTGGGCTAGAGTGCCGTGGCGTCAGCCTCGCTCACAGCAACCTCCAACTCCTGTGCTCGAGCGATCCTCCTGCCTCAGCCTCCCGAGTAGCTGGGACTACAGGCATGCGCCACCACGCCCCGCTCATTTTTTTTCTATATATTTTAGTGGGCCAATTAATTTGATTCTGTTTTTAGTAGAGATGGGGTCTCACTCTTGCTCAGGCTGGTTTCAAACATCTGAATTTGAGCCATCCTCCCGCCTCGGCCTCCCAGAGTGCTAGGATGACAGGCATGAGCCACCGCGCCCGGCCAAAATAGAACTATCTGGAAAGCAGTTGGGAATGTAGGCTTGCGGCTCCAAGAATGTGTGATATTAGCACCTATCGATGATCATTGCGACCGCCCGCAGGCAAGGATGACATTATGAGGAAGGGATATGTAAGCCGAGGGGAGGGGCGGGGAGGGACGCAGTGAGGGCTCCAGAAGAGGAGCAGGTGCAGCGTCCCAGTCTGGGTAGCCGCGCCAGGAGGGACAGAGCGCCCCAGCGGCAGGGCCACGCTGGGTGAGATGCAAAGTGTGACCGCAGCCTGCCGGGTCACGGGGGTTGGGGTTGGGGTTGGGGTTGGGGTTAGGGTTGGGGTTGGGATTAGGGTTAGGGTTGGTTGGGGTTGGGGTTAGGGTTAGGGCTGGGGTTGGGGTTAGGGTTAGGGCTGGGGTTGGGGTTAGGGTTAGGGCTGGGGTTGGGGTTGGGGTTAGGGTTAGGGCTGGGGTTGGGGTTAGGGTTAGGGTTGAGGTTAGGGTTAGGGCTGGGGTTAGGGTTAGGGCTGGGGTTGGGGTTAGTGTTAGGGCTGGGGTTGGGGTTATGTTTAGGGTTGGGGTTGGGGTTAGGGTTAGGGCTGGGGTTGGGGTTAGGGTTAGGGCTGGGGTTGGGGTTAGGGTTAGGGTTGGGGTTAGGGTTAGGGTTGGGGTGGGGTTGTTGTTAGGGTTAGGGTTGGGGTGGGGTTTGGGATGGGGTTGTGGTTGAGTTTAGGGTTGGGGTTGGGGTTAGGGTTAGGGCTGGGGTTGGGGTTAGGGTTAGGGTTGGGGTTAGGGTTAGGGTTGGGGTTAGGGTTAGCGTTGGGGTTAGGGTTAGGGTTGGGGTTAGGGTTAGGGTTGGGGTTAGGGTTAGGGTTGGGGTTAGGGTTAGGGTTGGGGTTAGGGTTAGCGTTGGGGTTAGGGTTAGCGTTGGGGTTGGGGTTAGGGTTAGGGCTGGGGTTGGGGTTAGGTTTATGGCTTGGGTTGGGGTTAGGGTTAGGGTTGGGGTTAGGGTTAGCGTTCGGGTGGGGTTGTGGTTAGGGTTAGGGTTGGGGTGGGGTTGGGGATGTGGGTTGTGGTTGAGTTTAGGGTTAGGGTTGTGGTTTGGGTTAGGTTTAATGTTAAGGTTAGGTCTATGGTTAGTGTTAGGGTATTGTTAGGTTTGGTGTTGGTGTTGTTGTTAGGGTTGGGGTTGGGTTTGGGGTTGTGGTTAGGGTTAGGGTTGCGGTTGGGGTTGGGGTAGTGTTCGTGTCAGGGTTGGGTTTTAGTTTAAGGTTTGTGTTAGGTTTAGGGCTAGGGTTGGGTTTAGGGTTAGGGCAGTGGTGCGACAGAGGCGGGCCGGAGAGTGCTGGGGAGGGGGTGGGCAGGGAGCATGGGTGATACATGCCTGTCCACTGAAGGGAGTTGAGCATTCCGGGGGCGGAAAATATCAGCTCATGTAAGTTAAGATATTTTTTTAGCAGCTGTTAGAAGAGGTCAGATCATGTATGGGTGCTGAGGGCAAGAGCCAGGACGGGGTATGCTCGGGGCCTAGAGCAGCGGGTAGATAATTGATGGGACAGGGCTCGGCAGGGCTGGAGTCGAGGCCTCAGGTGGAGGGATTCCCTGGGACAGGACGGGTGGGAGCCTGTTCTTTTTTCATTAAGAGCAGAGAGGAGAAGCCTGCGCGGTGGCTCACGCCTGTCATCCTAGCACTCTGGGAGCCAGAGGCTGGCATTTAGCTCGAGGTCAGGAGTTCGAAACCAGCCTGAGCAAGAGCGAGACCCCGTCTCTACTATAAATAGAAAGAAATTAATTGGCCAACTAATATATATAGAAGTGCCACGTCGGCCCGGGCGTGGAGGCCAAACCGCCCGCCGTCCTGCGTGCCGTCCTGGCGCTCCGTGCGCCACGTCCGGGCGGAAGGGAGGAGGGTCAGCCCGCCGTCCTTCGCCCGGACGTGGGCACGGAGCGCCCAGGACGGCAACGGACGGCGGGCTGGCCCCCCACGCTCCGCGGACGTGGGCACCGGAGCGCCAGGACGGCAGGACGGCGGGCTGGCCCTCCTCCCTCCGCCCGGACGTGGGCACGAGCGCCAGGACGGCAGGACGGCGGGCTGGCCTCCACGCTCCGCCCCGGACTGGGCACGGAGCGCCAAGGACGCAGGACGGCGGGCTGGCCTCCCTCCCGCCCGGACGTGGGCACGGAGCGCCAGGACGGCAGGACGCGGGCTGCCCTCCTCCTCCGCCGGACGTGGGCACGGAGCGCCAGGACGCGCAGGACAGCGGCTGGCCTCCTCCCTCCGCCGGACGTGGGCACGGAGCGCCAGGACGGCAGGACAGCGGGCCTGGCCTCCTCCCTCCGCCCGAGACGTGGGCACGGAGCGCCAGGACGGCCAGGACGGCGGGCTGCTCTGCAGGTGCTGCGCGGCCTTGAGGCAGAGCAAGCGCGGCGGGAGGGCGGCAGAGCCAGCCTCGCAGGCCACCACTATCCGGAGAGCCAGCGAGCCCAGGACGGTCTTATAACGCCAGACAAGAATATACAGCCAGACCAGCGCCGCGACAGATCGGCACGACATACAACGGCAGAAAGTCAGCATGTACAGAAGACTGAAACACGGACTGGTCTCGTGGGGAAAGCCATGTCACTCTGGAAGATTCCTGGCCGCCATTGAAGCCCTCCTCTGATTTTCTCAGCTGGAAAAGGAGTCTCCTCTCTCTCTCTCTCTTCTCCTGAAAACTCCTCAGAGCTAACTTAATTTGTACTTAGGACACTTTAAAATTTGTTCTTGCTTTGCAGTTGACTGGGCTCATTCCTGGTGCACCCTTTTTTCATCTTTGCCTCCATTTACAGAGCTAATATTTAATATAACACACCTTTAAAAGACACCTTGGGCCCAGCGAGTGGCTCACAGCCTGTAATTCAGCACTCCTGGGAGGGCCAAACTGGGAGGATCACTCAAGGGTCCAGGAAGTTTCAAAACCAGCCTCAGCAAGAGCGAGACCCCGTTCTACTAAAATAGAAAGAGAAATTAATCGAAAACTTTAAAAATATATAGAAATTGCGGGACATGGTGGCGTCGTGCCTGTAGCTCAGCTACTCGGAGAGGCTGAGGCAAGGAAGATCGCTTGAGCCCAGGAGTTGAGGTTGCCTGTAAGCTAGGCTGGCAACTCACTCTAGCCTGGGCAACAAGAGCGAACTCTGTCTCCAAAAAAGAAAAAAAAAAGCAATGAAGACATAGAATATTGTTAGATGTTAAGTTTCAAGAGGGAAAGTGTACCACTCACCTACCAAATCACACCAGCCCCACACACAATACATAGTCGTGATGGATAAACTGATGTATGATAACAATATCGGTAAAGCAAAAACATCCTTGGCTTTTATTGCTACTTTTTTATTTTGAGACAGAAGTCCTCACTCTTGCCAGGCTGAGTGAGTCCAGGGCATCAGCACCACTCACAGCAACCTCAGACGCCTGGGCTTCAAGTGATCTCCGGCCTCAGCCTCCCCCAGTAGCTGGACTACAGGCATGGCCACCATGCACGGCTAATTGTTTCTGTATATTTTTAGGTTGGCCAATTAATTTCTTCTATTTAGCTAGCAAGATGGGTCCTTGCTCTGCTCAGACTGGTCTTGACTCCTGACCTTGAGTAATCCTCCCAGCCTTGGCCCTCCCAAAGTGCTATGTTACAGGTATCGAGCCCAACGTCCAGACCCAATTCGGTTTTAAAGTGAATTTTTCTAATTGTTCATCCTTGAAAAAAAAAATCACTAGTTTCCTACTGTTTACCAGTTACTAGAGTATTCACAAAGATGTTTACGTCATGTATTCTTTTAAATTTTCCAAACTATGCTCCCAGCATCTTGTGGCTGTCTTTTTTAATTGATCTGGATTTCCCCAAAGTTGTCATCTCTTGTAAATACGGTCTTTTTTTGGGGAAAAAACCTCTTATATTTACGTTTACTACATTTTCTTCCCTAGTAGCAACGAGAGAGATAATTTATTTCAGCAGAAATTATAAAGTAAAATATAAAAAAAAAATATTTTGAGACTCCATTAGACAACAAGTTTTGGTAAGGAAGAATAGTTAACAGTTATCAGCATAAGTGACAACCAAATTCATAAAAGACCTGTGGGTTCTTTTTAATGGGAGAAAAGAACACAGAAAAGAAACACAAAAGTAGCTTTTCAACACAGCGTCAGTTGCCACACCACATGAACCACATTCCACAAAAATAATAGTCTCCCACTTGAACATTTCATTCTTTCAGCCCTCTTTGGAAATTGCATTCAATGAAAGTCTTGATGTCACTAGCTGCGCGGGAAGACCAGTCTCCTATTCCGTTGCACTGCAGCCCAGGGAATCACCCCCTCACAGGCCAATTAAAAGAAACACTTCCTGCTTCACCATCAACACAGTACCCTTTAAGGCTAATATTTAATCCTTAATTGGCACAAAGGTTAGTGCAAATAAACTCTATATCTAGCAGCTTAAGAAAAGTCCCAGGTGGGAAGGCCAGGCTGCTCCTTAACCTTCTCCGCTTCCCAGCAGTGAACATCATTTTCTCTTTTCATTGAGTGCAAACATTGGCCCATGTCAATCTACTTGAAAACTACTAGTGACCGCTCTGTTTGTCACACCAGGGAGTCCCCGGAAAAATGGTTTCGAGCCCGACTATTGCAAGGAGCCGCCACAGTCTTACATTAGGGAAAGTTCCCTTTAGGCTGACACAGAGCACAGGGCCGGAGTGCCAGTCAACCTCTCTCCCGGAGTGCAGTCAAGGTCACGACTGGACCTTGCCCCAGCTGCCCCTCTCTGGTCAGCAAAAAGAAACAAGGTGGCACTAGTCATGTCACCACCATTCAGCCATCAGAGGTGGAAATGGAAAAAGCAGAGACAGGGACAGGGCTGAGGAATCCTGCTTAAATCAAATCCTACAACTCTCCAGTCAATAAAGTTGTATGTTCAGTGATTCTGAGATGCCAACAAATAAATAAAAATAAAAGCTGATCGCTGCCGGGGGCTTTCAAACCTGGTTGCTTCCACTCTTCTCGCCAAGAGTCAATTCCTCCATTGGAACAGCAAAGCCCAGAAGAGCTTCGAGCCCCATAGAAGACATTTCTTGGTCGTGGCTTCCAATCATTCTCCAAAACTGCCCCTTCTTTTTCATTTGTGACACCTCTCCTCTCTGGCCGGGGTTCTGTGCCCAGAAAGCTTGCGGCAACCCAGGAACCAGAAGACTTCTTGGGTTCGGGAGCACCTGGCCTTGGCCGACCAGCTCACAAGGAACTTTGACGGTTTAACAAAAGCCTTGGGAATGGGGCCCAGGCCATGGGTGGAGGTCCATGGCCCTTTCCAATCCTAGCTCTCTTGGGAGGCCAAAGGTGGAGGATTGCTCAAGGGTCAGGAGTCTTTGAAGAACCACCTAGGCAAGAGGGCGGAGACGGCTGGTGCTTCTACTAATGGAAAATACGAGAGAGGCCGAAGTTGACGCGCTGGACAAACTGAAAGTATGTATATGTTAGAAAAAATTAAGCCGGCATGGGTGGGGCGCACATGCTGTAGTCCCAGCTACTCGGGAGCTGGAGGGGCCCAGGAGGATCCGCCTGAGCCAAGGAGTCTTGAGGGTTGCCCCGTGAAGCTAGGCTGGTGCCATGGCACTCACTCTAGCCCTGGGGACCACAGAGTGAGACCTTGTCTC